GGGGGGGGACCCGCCCCGAGCGCCGGGTTCGTTTCTCTCTGTCTTTGCCTCTGCCTTCTCTCCGTGCGTGTGTCTCTGTGTGTGTGTGTGGCCGGGGGGGGGGCGGCGCGGCCTGGTGCGCGCGGCGGATCCCGCCGCTCGCGTAGCGCGGCCGCCCGGCGCTCGCTGAGGGGGGAAGGAGGAGGAGGAGGAGGAGGAGAAGAGGCGCCCGCCGAGGCTCCGCCGCCGCCGCCGCCATGAGCGTGGAGGCGTACGGCCCCAGCTCGCAGACCCTCACCTTCCTGGACACCGAGGAGGCCGAGCTGCTCGGCGCCGACACTCAGGGCTCCGAGTTCGAGTTCACCGACTTCACCCTCCCCAGCCAGACCCAGACGCCGCCGGGGCCCGGCCAGGCGGGGCCGCAGCAAGGCCAAGGCCCCCCCGGCGCGGGGCAGGGCCCGCCGGGGCCTCTGGAAGCGCAGGTGAGGAGGGTTTTTGGGGGGGTTTTCGGGGACAAGGGAGGGGGGGAAGTTGTCCGGAAGGGGCCCGGGTTGGGGTCGGGCTTGGGCGGGGGAGCCGCGTGTGGAGCGGGAAAGGGAGCGATGGATCCCGCGACCGCAAAAGCTCCGTGTTATTTCAGTTTTGTTTCGGTTTTATTTTTTTCTCTCTTTTTTTTTTTTTTTTTTTTGTATTTCCTCTTCAAACGTGGCTTCGGTTGTCGAAAGTTGGGCGCTGAGGGAGTTCGGCTTTAATAATTTTATTATTTTTTTTTAACTTCTCCTTACTGAAATACGCCTCTACGGTTTTAAATTTACGGGTTTCGTTTACTATTATTATTGGTTTTTTCCGCCTTTTTCTGCCGCCCCGGTTCGTTTGGGGTTTGCCTTGGAGGGACAGTCGATATTGGCCTGAGGTTTAAGTTCTGCTTCCTCGTGACTTAAAAACAGGTTTTAGGGCCTATTTTTCTTTCTTTTCTTTACCATAACTCGGTATTAAAACCAATTATATTTGTTTAGCAGTTCACAAAAGCGAAGGGAGGGAGGGAATTTATGTTACATTTTATATTACGTGCTCACAAGAAGAGGGGCAAGTGAAGACGTTGTCACTGCTACACCTCTATGACAAAAACACTGAAAAACTCGTCTGTATTTTTTAAAAACTCCCACTTTTCTGCGTTTTAAAGACCGCGGAAAGCTCAGTTTCGTTACACTCGTGTCGTCCCATTATTAACAATCAAATGCTTGCACGTTATCCACGTGTTAAAGGGCTGAGTTTAAAGAGGAGTTGAAAGTTTTAGGTGAGTTTTTTATCCCGAACCGAACATCGTGGAGCCGATTTTTGTTGCCTTTTGCTCGCCAAATTTGTGGCGTCGGGGGCTGTGAGTGGAGCAAAGGGGCAGCAGAGCCAGCGCTGGGGATCCACAGGTAGAGAGGGCAGGACTGGAGGGGTTTTTATCCTGTCCTGGGGGTTTATCCCGGGCCAAAGTGAGTCACTTTTGGTGTCTGAAAGCCGCTCGGTGACATCCTGGGTGGTGTCACAGGATGTGCTCAGGGCAGTGTGTTCAGAAGGCAGAGCCTGGGTTGTTTGTTTATTTTCTTTTACAGTCGCGTTTGGGTAGAATTTCTCCACTTTTGAGCGTTGAGGGACCAGAATTATTTAGCACCGGTAGTAAAAATCTTGTTTATGTCCAGACTATACGTGAATTGATTTGAAATTTTTAATAAAACCTCAAGTTTTTAAAGCTTTAATGGCTTGTGATCGCTCCAGAGCTCCCCAGTAGAGAACATATGGCCAGAAAAAGGAGAAAAACCACCCCAAAACAAGCCCCATAAGCTAAAAGACCAGACAAGAGGATTAATAATTGGTCTTTTTTTTTCTTTCTTTTTGTCTAAACACGTTTGAAAAGCCTTTGAAGTGAAAAGGGAAAAAAAAAAAAGTCCTAAAAGATCTGGAGAGCACATTCAGGTGCTGGTTTGTCTGGCAAAAATTGAGGGATTTTATGGTTGTTTTTATGCATTTTAATCCGTGTATTTGTATTTCTGCAAACTCTCGTTGTCATCTTGGTCCTCAGTTTGACTTTAGAAATATGATTTTTTGGGGAGGGCGTGGAGGGAGAAGGGATTTATTGCAACGAGGCCCTCTCAGAAGTGGAATAAGAATCGTTTCCTCCTGAGCTGGAGTCAAACAAACCCCCTGGATCTGCTCAGACTTGCCCTTTCCGAGGCCTCCCGGGGTGATAAGATCAGAAATTAGGTGTGTTTGGTTGGTTTTTTTTTTTTTTAAAAAGGTTCTGGGGAAAATTTTGCTGCCTTCAACAAAATAACTGAAGCTCGTTGTGCCTTTTGGCAGGGGGAGTATTAAATGATAGCTTCCAAACTGATCACATTTTGCTTAATTAAATATTATTCCTGTGATTATAATTAAAGCTAATTAAATAAATAGGTGAAGCTGCTGAAGGTGTAAACTTCTGCTCTGCTGTTTCATGTCCTGGTGTTTTAAAAAAAAGTAGTTGAGCAGTGCAGGGCACCTGATTTTTTATTATTTTTTTTTTTAGGGAAATGTGATGGATTAGTCTCTAAAAATTTAGTTTATTTAGTTAATAAAGTTTATTTTGTGTATTTAATTAATAGTTTAAGAGGCTGTTAAAATTGATTAGTGTCCAATCAACAAAAGATAAAGGGCAGGTGCTCTCTGCTGGTTTTAATTCAGGAAACTCTATTCCCATTGCTTACCTCTAATTAAATATAAGAATGGATTTGCCTGAATATTTTAAGGTAAATTTAAAAGTTGCCCAGAGAAGCTGTGGCTGCTCCATCCCTGAAAGTGTCCAAGGCCAGGTTGGATCAACCTGATCCAGTGAAAGGTGTCCCTGCCCATGGCAGGGGGTGGGACTTGTTGATCTTTTAGGTTTTTCCAACCCAACCCGATCTCTAATTCCCCAAAATTCTCATTTCTGCCTCGTTTTTCCCCTCCTGAGCCAAGGCCTGTCCCAGCAATGCCCACGGGGTGGATGTGGGAGCTGAAGCTGCTGGAGTGGCTGAAGGAAGCTGGGGGCAGCCCTCAGGGTTTTTTTTTTTTGGTCTAGACTCTGGAGGCTGGGTTTAATTTCCAGCCCTAACAAAGCCTTTTTTGTCTCAGGAAAATGACTTCTTGTTGCTCAGGTCCCATCTGGAAGCTCGGCCCAGGGTGGGGTGTGGGGGGAGAGTTCTCTCTAAGAGCCACTTCCTCCTTTTGAAAGGGAAAGCAGATCAGCCTTCCGAGGGATTATCAGCCCCTCCACTAAATACTTCAGGGCCTCAAAGCAAAGAATCTACAAACAACAACTCAGATTAACCATCCAAGTCCAAAAAATATGTTTTCCTAAGTATAATTCCGGGAAAATTCCCCAAATTGGAAATGCATCCCCACGGCTGCTGGGGCTGAAGGCTTTGGTGCAAAAGTCCTTTTGCAGCCCAGCACCTCCTGAAGTGCAATTAGTTTTCCTGTTCCAGCTTGAAATGCAGCACTTTCAAGTGGAACTGCAGGAGGTGGATCCAGGTGTGGATCTCCTGGGCTGGGTGGGGTGTGGGAGCCAGGAGAGCCAGTGGGAATTGGGCTGGGAATGTTCTCTGGGAACTCACACCTGAGAATCCTGGGCTGGTTTGGGTGGGAAGGGATCTTAAAGCCCATCCAGTCCCACACCTTCCACTCTCCCAGGCTGCTCCAGGACACTTCCAGGGATCCAGGGGCAGCCACAACTTGGACTTTATTATCCCCCAACCACTATTCCAGAGGCCAGGAAAGGATCAGGGAAGTCCCAGGGGTGGTTCTGTGGCACCTCAGCGCTCGCTTTGGAGCTGCTGAACTTGCTGTGCCAGAAGTTGCAGCCAACACTTGGAAAATAGAGAAGTTCCCCCCCCCCTCCCTCCCTCACACACACAAAACAGTTCCTGGTGCCAGATTTTTAATCCTGTGCACATAAAGTGACATCACAGGAGGGTTGGGAACAATCACTTCCTCCTTGGGAGCCTGCCAAGGCCTCTGGATCTTCCCAGGACAGGTGACATCAGTGACATCAGTGACATCATCCCTGCCCAGCTGAGGGCAGGAGCTCACCAGGGGGTCACCAGCACGGTCACCTCGTGCACAACTACAAGGAACTTGCAGTTAATTCTTAATTTTCTGCCTTAAAAAGGAAAAAAAAAGCAAAAAAAAACCCTAAGAAAACCCAAGCTTTCCAATTGTATTCTGGTTCAGGAATCCCAGGTTTTTAGGAAATGTATTAAATGTATTAAAATGGCAAATTAAATTTGTCAGCTGGTGTGTATTAATAGTGTCTTTGGAACAGAAAAATGCACCTGTTTTGGGGTAGAAAAAAAATAGAATAGAAAAAATGTGCCTGTTTCAGGACAGAAAAAGCCTGGTAGTGCTGCCTCTGAGAAATTCAGCTGAACTTCAAGCTTTGGAATTCCACCTGTTCCACGCTCAGTTATGAAGCTGTTGCCCTGTTTTATGAAGTGGCACTATGAATTTCAAACAGATTTATCAATTTAAATGGATATTTCTCTCCTCACACCCGTGGAGATGCTGAGAGTGTTTGCCTTCCTCACACTGATGGCTTGTGCTGCTGCTGCTGCACCTCCTTCAGTGGTTTGGTTTTTATTTCCTTTTTCCCCTCTCTGATGGTTCCTCTTGGCTGATTCTTTCTGTTCAAAGCCATCCATAAAAAGAGCATTTAACTGTGTTTTATAAACACACCTCATTTCCTTTGGAGGTAACAAAACCAAGCCCAGTCCAACTGCTGAGGGCAAGTGTGAAGTGGTTCCTACTTGGTTTTAATTTTAACTCTTGCAATTGGCTGTTCAATTTTGATATTGAAACTGCCTGGCCTGGAACCCAAAGGAGACTTTCAGAGGAGTGAGGTGGTTTTGCTTTGCTTGGGAGTCTCAACAGCTTGAAAATGCTGCAGCAGCAACTGTTTCAATCAGATTTTTATTTTTTTTTGACTAAAGGTTTGGTGTTCTCACTGTGGACAGTTTCTTTCAGGTATCTGATAAATTGCATTAAATCTCAGTGCAAACCAGTTGTTAAAATGCTGTTTTCTCAGACAGAGGCCTGGAGTGATTTTTTTATCCTCCCATTTGTAGATAAATCTTGCCTAAACAAATATATTTCTAAAACATTGGGAGGGGTTAATACACCTGAATTTGCTGTGATAGGGAAGTTACCTCAACACTCATTTCATGTTAATATTGTGTAATCGCTGCTGTCACTGTGGTGATCCCTTTCCCACCTTTTTCCACTCAAAATTAACATGGATTATGACATACTTAGCCCTCCTTGGGTTTTGGTGGGATCTTGGCTGAACAATTTAAAGAATAAAGTGTCTGAGCCCAGTTTTTGGGGGGTGTTGAAGGTGCTGAAGCCCCTCCAGGACACCTGGGAGGCCCAGGAGGCACCACCTGGCC